CAAATTCACTCAAAATCTTCAACTCTGAGAGATAGGGTATCCATTTTGGGTATCCATCTCATTACACCAAATTCACTCAAAATCCTCAACTCTGAGAGATAGGGTATCCATTTTTGGGTATCGACCCCGTTACACCAAATTCACTCAAAATCCTCAACTTTATAATATAGGGTATCCATTTTGGGTATCCATCTCGTTGCACCCAATTCACTCAAAATCCTCAACTTTAAAAAATAGGGTATCCATTTTGGGTATCCACTCAGACGGATATCGTAACTAGTACTTTCTCGATACCCAGCCTTTGGATATTATGACATCTCTGATCATAATTAGATTTCTCTCTCATAATTTTTTCACGCACACAAACTACTTTCTTATTAGAATCCTATTCAATGTTGGCTGCTGCAAAATATTTACCGTCACATAAAAATTTGATTCATAAACAAGAATAACATGTAGAAAATCTTTCTGTTCATTAGGAAAAACAATGTCAATGATTGTATATAAAGACCAAACGCTAGATTGAACCGAAGAGAATTGATATAAAAGAATTATTTGAACAAAATCTTTCATCTTATGTCTGACTCCGAAGCTTTTGCTTGGGCTTTTTGTTTACCAAAATGTGTAGATCAGCTACGATTTCATTTTTCAAACTGATAGAATTTAATATCTGTTTTGAATTTTTATATTTTGATTCATGATAAAAAGATAAGATTATAACAACTTTCCTACATATGACTCTTATTTTATATATTTATGTCAATTTGTTCATTGATATTTCTTCACTGAAAGTTAGTTGATCTTCGTTGCAACAAGCTTTTCATAAAACGACAATCATTCTTGGATCAATCTTAAAGAAAATTTTATATAAATTTATTAGAGTTGATTCAATATTGATTTACTTATTATTCGTTCATAGGTTTATCTTTTCATTGTCTACCAAATTTTCGATCAATATTCATTGATCATTTTCCTAATGCACGAATTTGAATATGATCAACAATAATTCGATCATTTCGAAGTATAAAACAAAACTGACCTCAATGTTTTTTAATAAATATATATAAAAATTATTCAGCTAGATTTTCATTTATTCTACATATATAACGTGCACAATCAGTTTGTTCATATCTTTAATTTAAATATTTTTATAGAGTTAGTCATTTCCTACAAATAAAAAGAGAGAAAATAAATATTATATTATTTAACAAATTGATCATATCTTTGTTTAACAAGTTCATCTATTTCATAGATTCGAAATTATATTTTAACAATTATTTGAATTAATTACGTTTTTCCGATGATTGTTGCGCTTCATTAACAAAATCAGATAATTATATATCTAAACGACGAAACGAACACCAGATAAACTATATAAACATATATTTATTATTAATAAAATATTGTTAACTAACCAAGTAATAAATAGAGTTTTCATGTCTAAAGCACGTGCAATATAGAAAACAAACATTATTATAAATTTAAAAAAAAATCGTTAACATGCTGTAGAAGCATGTTGACCAGCCAACGCCACCAAAACATAATAAAATATTATTTAATTGATTTAGCTGAGTTAATGATCGAATCTGACTAAGCATAGTTTCATTATCAACATAAATAAAAGGTAATACCTATTTATTGAACAGTTTATCGTTTTATTTAGATTCTCTTTCAACAAATCAATTTTATCTATACTAATTTATTTACTTATCAAATAATAATTTAAATAAAATAAACAAAAAATTTTATTCTTCTTCCTAACCAATCAAATTTGTTTAACGATGTTTCACAATCTAATCATTCATGTGCTTTTCGAACAAATAATCATGAAAAGTCTTCTCATATTAACCTATCTAAGATTAAATTACCATCGGCTACAGTTAATCATCACCTTAAAAAGCATTTAAATTCATATAAATATTTAAAAAAAAAAATGAAACTGTTTTTTATAAGATGCTGGGCCAGCTCATTCTCTACCAACTCGATATAGACCTGAACGAAACACTTTATATAGTTTCACCAGTAGGAACTACTCGATTTATGTATAATTGTCATCCTTGACTGAAAAGTTCGAGATCCAATTCGAATTAGAATAACATGTTTAAGTCAACCATAAAATCGACTAACATCTTTTCATCTTCCAAACATATCTAAGACTAATAACAGATTGTCAATTTATAGAACTCCTTACTCAATATTCAATCACATCATCTCTTTGTTTTTTTCTTATTTATAAACAATTCATGTTTATATATTAAAAAACAAACCTACCTACAGGTAGAGAAAGAATAGGACAGCATCCAGAATATATAATTAAATTATTTTATTGATTATAAAGAATTATTTGTTTATTGATACCTTCTCAACTGATGTTAAACTACCATCGTTATTCCATAAATAGAAGATTAACTTAATTAGGTGTTTTCTTTTTCAAATCTACTTCTATATATATCAATATATCCTTTTAGACATCGAGTTAAATAAGACATTACTACGAGAATAAATATCAAATTATATTTTAGATAAAATAGACATCTATCGGCTCTTCGTAGACATTTTTCCATGAAATTTATTTCATCTGATAGAGATATATTTGTAAAAAGGGATATAACATGCTATTTCACCAATACGTAATTAATGATGATCAGGATAAATAATTTATATTTAGTTTTAAAGTTCATTTAGATAGAAATTTATGATAAAAACGTTATCAATATTAATGAATAAGGGGTAGAGCTATTGATAAAATAGATTTTTATTTGATTTTATTTAAATCCTAAGGTAATCGTTCGTTAAATAAATGGTTTCGAAATTTCAATCTCTATTATATAAAATAATCAAGATTGATCAATACATATATATAGGATCTACTAAAAAGTCTAGGAAACATTTTATTAAATCCTTCGAATAAATTCAACTACTATTTAAATTATCGAATGTTCGATAAGAGTTTTTTTTAATGATATGTTATGCTGCTAAAAATATATCAAATAACTACTACTACCGTCTTTCTTTCGGTTTATATTTCAAGCATTATCTCGAAATAATTCTTTTCACGATAATACATCAAAAATGGTGTATCATTGAAGAAAGCTCTTAATTAAAGGTTTTGTTTGTTTTTGTTTCTATGAAACAAAAAAAAGTAAGAATAGACTATATTAAATTGCTTTTTTCTTATATAATAAACAATCGAAATGAATGAAATGGTTTACCCTATCGTAAGTATTAATTTACTGTGCTGTTTCAGTCGTTTTTTTTGATGCTACTATTGTTTCATTTAAATGATTTGTAATTAAATCAGCATTACTATGTGAAGATAAGGCTTGGGATTGTTTACCATTTTCATTATTATGTTTACTTCAATCAGTTCCCATAAAGTATTCTCTATTTATTAAACAAAAACACCATTTGTCAGATACTGAAGAAAGAACATATTATTTCATTACGAAGGTATTGGACGACTTTCAACATTTCGATTATAAACTAATGAACGTGATGAAGATTTCATCTTGTTATCTTAAATAAATATTTTTTCTTTGTTGTATAAAACTATTATTATTAGTGCATACTGAAAACAAATTTTCTCTCATTGATGTTTGTATTCAAAAGAGAATTAGTTCAAATTAGATTATCGAATTGTTATTCTGATACTATAATGAGTCTGGAATGTTAGTGTTATCTTGTAACAAAACGAGGTTTTATTATTAACAATGACATCTTCTCTTTCCACAAAATAAACATAAGACATGATAAAATACAAGAAACAATAGCTATGCTACAAAGTACATTGAATATGACTAAACACAAGAAAAAATATATTACACATAACTTATAGGAATAAAAACAATTGAACATGTACATAACAAACTTAAAGTGTGATCTTTTCCTACTAGACGAAATGATACAATGAAATGAACTTATCAATTCATTGACATATACACCGATTTTTTGGCTTCTTTTTTTTTTGCACCCATTTTTCGTCATATTCATTATAAATTCGTTGGAATGTTGATTCAGTTACAATATCGAAGTTATTATTTTTTCCGTATTCTTTTTCCAGATCTAAGGTAACGATCAACTCACATATGTCGCCATAATCTAAAATATAAAATAAAAAGAAACAGTAGTATACATAATCTGTTTGAATAAGACAATAGCTTACCCCTTATTTTTTTGAAAACTGATTCTCTTTTCAAAGGACGTCCGAGGTAAGCTTTAATTTTTGTTAATACTAAAGCTAAAAACAATTATAGGTATAGTCAATAATATTCTATGATGCTAGAAAACTTACTTGGAGCATTGCAAAAAATAATATGTTCTTCATATACGATCGTATTGTTTTTAGATGGATCAGGACCGTAAACAGGTGATACGAGAAGATCAACTGGTAAAAAGTATACATGTTCAAATCTCGCACATAATTTATCACCAAGTACATTTGTATACCCAACGTCCATTAATATCTAAAATATTCAGAAGTACACTTCGTATTATTGTTAATCATCAGAATAATCGTACAACCGATCACACATTCATATATATATAATCAAATATATGAATGTTTACACTTACTTGTTTTGCTTTTTGAAAATCAGCCTCTGCTACTATGATATCGATGTCCATTGTGTTTCGAATTACACCATGAAAAATTAAAGCATAGCCACCAACTATGTAATAAGAAATATTGTGAAGATGAAATAATTTACTGAATCGAATGACACTCTTGTATAAAAGTCCGTCATTTGTATTGAAATGCATGGCGTTATCAAAAATATCTGCGAAAGATAAAGATGACATTATTAATAATACATAAAGCAACGGTGAATATAGAGAACTATTTATATACACAATATCAGATGAACAATAACGGTAATGTAAAAAAATGATCGTCAGTTGCGATAAATAGTCTTATTCTCAGTCAGTGACGAACAAAAAATAGTCGTCAGAGAGAATATATAATGTATGAATCAATCGATATCAAATAAAATAGCCAATGATAAGGAAAGAGAAGAAAACCAATTAATAAAATAGTGATAGATGAGGGCATTCGTTCATCTGTTTGTTTTCGTTTTGCGTATCTTTATTTTCGAACTAGTCATGAAATTGAGTCATGTGATATAAAAGTTCCACTTATTTATCAATGGTTTACACTACAAGCAGATTTCATTCTCAACTTCTATCATGCAAAAGATAATCTGAATTATTTTTTGTTAACCGGAAAGAAAAAAAACCTTTTTTTCTCAAATCTCACAACACATACATTTCTTTACTTTATTTTCATAGCAAATATAATATGTACCAGAGGCAAGATGAAGTTTCATACATATTGGTATTACAACGTATGATTGAATTTTTTTACATGATAATAAATTTTTGGTTGGAAATAGAAAAAAATTTGATTTACACAATTACTTCAAAAGTATAGAAACAATGATAGTATATTATTAAAAAACAAATTACTATTCACAGCACTAGAATTTTTATATAAATGGTCATTGCTCATATTTAATTTACTTCATTTCGAATGAATATTTTAATCATATCCGCTGTGTCATAAAAAATATTGCATAACAGAGACCATCATTCATGTATAAAATTGACAACAAATATAATTTTAATGGAGTTTTTTTTTCTAATTAAAATTCGATTAAAATGGCATCATTTTAAGTAGACTATATCATTATTAATTCATTGTAATCAAGATAAGATAAAACACATTCAATTGACAAAATTGAATCAATCGAAATGAACTTTCCGCATGATCTCTTTGATTATTGATAAATTATTTCATGAATTAAGTAGAATCATTATCTCAACAATAAATCCAGTGAATATTTAGTATCATGAAAAGGTTAGTCAGTTGTCTTTTTCTTGTCTCTCTAAACCAAGATTAATACTCATTGAAAAAGTATGACTTGAAGCTTTGTAACGTAGATTTATTTCTGGAGTTAAGAATTGATTTTCTTACAGTACTTTACATGAAACTTAAATCTTATTTTTTTACCAAATGATCAGTCTTCGTTGCAATCAATTTTCAAACAGCTAAAAAGACATGACGATGCTCTTGAGTCACACTGATAGCCGAGCTTTTTGATCAGGTGGCAATTATCGTAGTTATTGCATTGGTAGTTGTTCCACCAATAGTAGCTGTCTTAGTGGCAGTAGTAATTGGTTCTACAGCCATGTTTGACCCAGCATTTGTCGTTAAGGGTACATAGTAGAAGCACGTTAGCAGCAAACTGACTCAACACATTCCCTGCCGGAAAATAGTTAGCTACAACATACGCTGTCTGATTATTGCCGGTCAGTGCAATTCCTACGCCCCACTACGTGGAACCATTCCAAATGACTTGCATAAAATGGCCCGTGCCAGAGAAGAAATCAGACGAGCTGTAATTGTACAAAAATATTTCGTCGTACCATGCAGTTGTCGGAACTGAGGTTGAAAGACAAAATACAATTCTTTTGTTGCCTATTGGATAAAATTTTATTACTGTTTATAAAGCTGATTCCAACTGATGAGTATGAATAATAGAGATTCTCACCAAGTACTGATAGTCCACTATGATTGAAAATATAATTGAATGCAAGGTACTGTGCGTAATTCTTTTTAAATGTCATGGATTTTGTGCGACATTGACTGGTGCTTAATATGCATACTATCTCTTGTTGAATAAGTATCAAACACATTTTAAGATAATTGATTCAGACACATATCATATTCTGTCGGTACTACTATACACTTGTCGAGAAATTATCATAACAACTTAGATGCTTTGAAAAATTGATTCTGGAATGAATAGCAAGACTATGAAACTTGTCTCATTTTTTTTAGTATCGTTGAGCATTTGTGTGGAAAGGAAAAGTTCAATTTTTTTGTCGAAGTCATCGGAGAAAGAATGCGTACATTTCAACAGTTACCTTCATGTATGTTTTCTTTTTGGACTCTACATGTACTTACTCAATCTCGATGCGCAAATTTTTTTTCTGACTTCTAAGTATATACTAAGCTCCGATCCTATTAATTCTGCTTCTGTTCACTTCATCAGAGGGCAAAGCTCATATTTTCAAGTTTCTATCAAAACACCTAGACATCAATAGATGAAAGAATATAAATTGTATGTATTTCGTTAGAGAGAAACTATTTATTGGTAAGCAAATAATTCTATTCAATAGTCAATACTTTATTTACACAATCATAAAATAAAAGCAAACATATGACATTGAAGTGTTTCTTTGCAAAAAAAAATATAATGGACTTGATTAAATTAATAAGTTGAAGAATGCTAAAGATCATCTCTCTATGCATTCAGTCATACTAGTTCTTATTGCTTAAGATCAATTTTATTCACCTCAGTCAATGGCTTAGTACTCCAGTACGATTGGTATCTATCAACCATATAACAGGAAATTTTAGCCAAGTTTTTCAAATAGCAGAAGATTTGGTTGATTGTCGATCACTAAAGGTCTTCATTTCAATCTTCTTTAATATCCAACAGTAATCCAAGTCCCTCCGCGCTGTATCGCCTATCTATGGCCAGTCGTGGCTAATTACGATAAGAAAATATAGCAGAATTGGTTGGAAAAAGCCAAAAATTTCATAGAACGGTCTAAGTCGACTTAATCTAAGTGTAAAGCTTGCTCCTAATCAGATGTTGAGTATAACAAAAAATGCAATTATTGAATCAAAACTTCAACAACGGATGTATTCGTAGAGGTATTATTGGAAAGCTTTGATGTTATCTATCCATATAGTTCGTTTCTCTTCATCATCACTGTGTTCGCAAGACTGGTTTAAGCACTACAAGGAAAGCCATGAAGAGAAAATTGGTGATACGTTTTATAGGTCAAGTGAGATCAATAATGCCTTGTAACTTTGCAAAAAAAATAGGTCAGCATCTGACTGTAAAGATTCAACAAATGAGTCAGCCTGAACAATACTACTAGCATTGATCTTGGATGATACTAAAGCACGTCGTCATTCGATAGAATGAACTTAAGATATCATCTTTGAATTGTGATTGCTCTGTTGAAACGAACGAAAATACTAGAGAGTCATTCTGCATGGGCCAGACACAATATTCTTTATTTATTTAACTTCATTCTTTGTTCTTTAGACGACAAATATTCACAAGCCTGAAAAATCCAATCTACATTTTAAATTGAAAAAAATCGTATAGCATAGCAGTAAACATGAATCCATCTATTTATTACGATCAATTAATGCATCATAATTAGATTTCTCTCTCATAATTTTTTCACGCACACAAACTACTTTCTTATTAGAATTCTATTCAATGTTGGCTGCTGCAAAATATTTACCGTCACATAAAAATTCGATTCATAAACAGGAATAACATGTAGAAAATCTTTCTGTTGATTAGAAAAAACAATGTCAATGATTGTATATAAAGACTAAATGCTAGACTGAACCGAAGAGAATTGATATAAAAGAATTATTTGAACAAAATCTTCCATCTTATGTCTGGCTCCGAAGCTTTTGCTTCGGCTTTTTATTTACCAAAATGTGTAGATCAGCTACGATTTCATTTTTTAAACTGATAGAATTTAATATCTGTTTTGAATTTTTATATTTTGATTCATGATAAAAAGATAAGACTATAACAACTTTCCTACATATGACTCTTATTTAATATATTTATGTTAATTAGTTCATTGATATTTCTTCACTGAAAGTTAGTTTATCTTCATTGCAATAAGCTTTTCATAAAACGACAATCATTCTTGAATAAATCTTAAAGAAAATTTTATATAAATTTATTAGAGTTGATTCAATATTGATTTACTTTTAATTCGTTCATAGATTTATCTTTTCATTTTCTATTAATTTTTCAATCAATATTCATTGATCATTTTCCTAATGCACCAATTTGAATATGATCAACCAATATTCAATCACACCATCTCTTTGTTTTTTTCTTATTTATAAACAATTCATGTTTATATATTAAAAAAAAATCTACCTACAGGTAGAGAAAGGATAGGACAGCATCCAGAATATATAATTAAATTATTTTATTGATTATAAAGAATTATTTGTTTATTGATACCTTCTCAACCGATGTTAAACTACCATCGTTATTCCATAAATAGAAGATTAACTTAATTAGGTGTTTTCTTTTTTAAATCTACTTCTATATATATCAATATATCCTTTTAGACATCGAGTTAAATAAGACATTACTACGAGAATAAATATCAAATTATATTTTAGATAAAATAGACATCTATCGGCTCTTCGTAGACATTTTTCCATGAAATTTATTTCATCTGATAGAGATATATTTGTAAAAGCCATATAATATGCTATTTCACCAATACGTAATTAATGATGATCAGGATAAATAATTTATATTTAGTTTTAAAGATCATTTAGATAGAAATTTATGATAAAAACGTTATCAATATTAATGAATAAGGGGTAGAGCTATTGATAAAATAGATTTTTATTTGATTTTATTCAAATCTTAACGTAATCGTTCGTTGAATAAATGGTTTCGAAATTTCAATCTCTATTATATAAAATAATCAAGATTGATCAATACATATATATATAGGATCTACTAAAAAGTCTAGGAAACATTTTATTAAATCCTTCGAATAAATTCAACTACTATTTAAATTATCAAATGTTCGATAAGAGTTTTTTTTTAATGATACAGGGTGATCGAAAAGTCTTGGTACCTCTCAGAAAAATTGTTCGCTCTCCCTAATAGTAAACTCCAATAATGCTCAAACTTTGGTATCTTATTCCTTATAACATGGCGAATATTATCCTAAATTTTCACCTCTCTATCCTGACAAATAAGGAAGATGTATAGACTAACATTCTTGAAATCTTATTTTTTTCCATGTCGCAAAAATAGTAGTTGGCATATAATAAATGGGGCACTTTTGCATTTCATGTTTCCATCACTTGATACATTGTATCAAGAAAACAAAATACACTACGAGATGCAGCGTGAAAAGCTCTACAATCTACGCAATAAAGTGTATTTTAATTATATAGTTTTTGGTTTCATAAAAAAGTAAAACTCTATGCGATCGATGTTCGTTGTCGTAAAAAAAATCGTTTTTTTCTACACGAACGAAAGATTCGTCTTTTTTTCACCCTTTTTATCACCTTATAAATTTCATTAAGAAAAAGTAAAATATATCACAAGATACAGCGTCAAAAGCTCTACAATTTACACAGTACAGCATATTTTAGTTATGTAATTGTTGTTTTCAAAAAAAGCACAACTCTGTACAATTAACTTAAAAATTGATCGCACAAATTTTTGCTTTTTCTTGAAAACAACAATTACATAATTAAAATATGCTGTACTGTGTAGATTATAGAGCTTTTCACCCTGCATCCTGAAATGAAAAAGAAGGAAGATTAATTCTATTGATTAAACATGGGTTCATTTTCGATTATATAATACTTTCAAAAAACTGCTGACATTCATAGTCATGTTCTGCATGGATATGATTTCCAGCAATTAGAGATAATCAACATTCGACAAATACTTTCAGAGTTATCGTAGAGTTTTTAAACTTTTTATTTTATATGAAAAAAAAAAAACCTTCAATAATTTCTTTCATAAACAATTGCAGAATCTTGTCAATATTTGTCTTCTTTTTCAGTCTTTGGTGATTGTATATAATTTATGTGTAACTATGCTGTTCTTTTAGGTTATAGATAGAATATTTATTTATCTTTATTGAATTTTCGATGGACCTATACGATATCTATTGTTAAACGATATCTATCCATTTTTTTCTTTTCTCAATGGTATTTGATTCGGTTATGACCTTTTGTTTTTTTGATTGTCCGATGTTATTGTTTTGTAAAAAATCTTAATTATATTATAACATGAAGAGAAGGATATTGTTTTTCATGTAATAAACAAGAATAAAATTTATTCGAATTCGTGGATTTTCGGTAGGAATCGATTAGAAAACTTAAGAAAATAGTCGGAACTTGGAAGCATGGATCTAGTAACTAGACTTTTCTAGTTTCATCGATCCTTTTTTTTTGTTGAACTGCAAAAAACAAATGTATTTACGAGAATTGTTCAATGTGATTGAGTTGAATTGTTCAACTCTGGTAGATCGTATTCGATCTCATTTAAATATTTAATTAAACATATTACGTATAAAATGTTTCTTTTACAGATTTGTTAAATATTAAATTAGAAAATCTTCGTTTATAAAAAAATATTCGTCTATTATAATTCATATTAAAAATCACAAATATAAAATAAAATACAAGATAATTGAAAAAAACAACCATGGGCTGAAAAAATTTTATAAAAAACAAGAAAGTTAATGTACAAAATACATTTTAAATTTGTTTTCTAGATATTCTTATACATTTTACAATATATAATATAAAGGACAGAATACTAAAATAAAAATCTTTAAAAATAAAAATCACAAAATATTCATCGTTTGAATTATTGATCAAAGATCATTTTTAGAATATATTCGATTGTATTGAAGACAAAGTACATGATCATCTATTGGATAAGAACCTTCTTCTCTTGTAAATTGTATATTACAATTATTCAAAAACAATTCATTTCAACTAAATACATTGAAATTTTAATTAAATATAAACTAACTTCATATCGATAACAATCAATATGATAACTTCGATCAAATGCAATTATAGCTATTCTTTCTTCTTGACCAATTAATGGTAATATTGCACGATGACATACATAACAACCTGGTGAAAATTTTTCATGAAAACAATCAATGGAATGTATTTGCATAGTTGCATCAACAGTAAATGGCATACCACCAAGACTTTTTTGACATGTCATACAAGAAAAACATTGACCATGATATGGTTTACCCGTTGCACGAAGAATCTTTAGAAAATATAAATATGAATTTAGTATTTGAATTCTAAAATACAGGGACGGTGCGAAGAGGTCAAAACAGGGGGTACTTTCGAAAAATGGGATGACGTATTAAAAAAACGTTTCGAACTTCAAATTTTGAGGTAGGATAGGCGACTTTTTCTGAACTTTTTATAAATTTTTCAAAAGTATTCGAAAATCGTTGAGCAAAAAAACGAAAATTTTCAAACGCAGGGGAGTACCCTCCCGCTCGCGCCGCCCCTGTTAAAATAGGTATCGTCATACTACGGAAGCTTGTTTAAAGTATATGATCGCACACTAAATGTGCTGTTCAACATCTAAAGACTAGCAAAACCTACAAATTTTGGGATATTTCCTACTTTTTTCGTTAAAATATAGGTAAAATAGGAATTTTAATCGAAATATAGGACAAAATAAAGGATTTTTCAAGAATATAGGTGTTATAGGAAATATAGGACGAATCGGAGGTCAGGGTTTAGTTATAAAATTTTAAAAAAAGAGTAAGAACTGACTCTTAATATGAATTATGTAAAACTACAAAAGTGCTGTTAAGGATACGTGTCTATATGTTGGAAGGCGAAGCGAAATATAAAAGTTACATACTCATAGTAAGTTATGTGAGATCTAAATAAATTATCAATAATTCTCATATAGCGACATAAACAATTGATCCTGACTGGTGGTGGCCAAACTTTAATGACGACGAATATGCTGATCTCTAGTTCAGACTAGAGATGTGCAGGGTCATGGAAAAGAGAAGTTGCTGAGACTAGAAACGAGACTGTGAGAAAAAGTTTTTACACTTTGAATTAAAGATTTTAGTTAAGTATTGTATGACTTTAAGTAAGCTATTTGGTAAATTATTAATCAGAACATAATTCAAAAAAGATGACTGAAAAAAGTGCTAGTGTTTCAACTAAATAAATACAAAAACTGAGTGTTGAAGAACTTTTTAGATATGATACGAATATATTCTGGAATAGCTTTCTCCCAGGCCGGGACAGAAATCACTAAAATAGACTAGAACTACCGAAATTCGTAGAAAAAAATCTTACCGGTGCTAATAAAAATTTGACCCTGCATATCTCTAGTTTAGACGCTTACCACGAATATTTTTCTTCTGTTACATACAACTTTCGACGAAATTTTGAAGAGCATTTTGAAATAGGAAATGAACTAGTTGAATATCAATATAATGTTGAAATAATTGAAGATTATGATGCATATGCAGCTAGTTATTTTTCGAGCAATCATATGATCGCAGTTCAAGTGTTGGGTGTCGCTTGTATTGAACTTCATTTTTTGTTTTTGCTATTTTCTACTCATTAGAATACAATTTATTTAAAAAAAGAAAACCTTGCAATAGGTATGTGTGTGTTTTGTCTTTTTTTATATTCATTTATTTACTTAATGAATTGTTATCTGATAAAGAGGAAACGACATATTTCAACAAGTAGGTTCTTTCTAGAAAGTCGTTGCTCTTGTATTTGATGTTCAGGAGGAGGCCGACGAAACTAGCCTGAGAGAGTGATTCAAGAAATGCGATTATTACCTTGACGTTCTTTGTGATTGATCCCTTATTATTATTATTCATGTCATTTTATGATGTATAAAAATTCTATATGATAATTCAATGAATCCATAGTACAACAGCAAGCTAACTCATGATATTCTTAACATAAAGCTTTTTTTTAATCTCGTATTGTTTTCTCAATAATAATTAACAGTATTTCTGTGTCGATTTTTTAGCTTAAAGTTAAATTACAAGCGACTGTTCACTTTATTTAAAGTAGAAAAAATAGTAACGATAGAAAAACAAAATCTATACAGAAGAAAGACCACGTATACTGAGAAGTAACAGAAGATTATTCCTGTCCAACATTGATATGCATAGTAAGATAAAAGCAAGACATTTTCTATTATAAAGAAGTACAACAATAATGATATTCTCATAGCTAATGAACAAAATGCAAACGCTTATTACTCATGTCTAACTACAACTAATATATTGACAAAATAGGTTTGTAGAAAATAAATTATTATTACACAGTAAAAACAAATTTAACTAGCAATAATAAAAAATTAATAGAATAAATATCAAAATATCAAAATATGAATAAATAGAGGAAATATAATAATCAAACGACAACCATAGATGGCTACTTACATTAGATTGATTAGTTTCAGATGACGAACGAGGTGAGACTGGACAATCACGTGTACCATGAACGATAAGTTGCCAAGATATTAACTCAGCTAGAAAAACAAAGATAGTTGTTGATTTCAAACGAATCATCAATATCATGAAAGTCAATATATCGTTTTTTAAATTGTTTTCATAACGTGAAACTCTATTGTATGCTTCCAAGGAAATCTTTGCAAGTTAAAAATCGCTTTTGAGTTCGTATTTTCTACATAAAACAGAGTTCCATAAAACATTAAAAATATCAAAACAATAAGGATCTCTGGACAGTCACTACATGGTTATAGCCGTTTCGCTGTAGTTTTGTCCTTTGATAGACAATAGCTATGTAGTGAAGGTCTCAGATCCCCTATCATTTCGATACTTTTAATATCTCATTGAAGTCTACCTTATGCACCGGGCTCGAACTTCAAAGCAATTTTTTAATTGGCAAGATTTCGTCGTCAGATTGTTCCTCTCCTATTCATTTCTGATGCTAAAGTGGGTAGACATCTTTCTATATTTTTCTTTGCAGTTTTCTTGGATACTATTAAGAACGATCGATATTAACATTTTAAATGACGATTACTACACGATTCTCCTTTTCTTTCACCTAGTTTAATATACGTACTATGGTTTGCCGTAAAACATGCACTTTTCTCCTTCAACTTCATTTATATTCATCGATTATTTACTTGATCCTTCACCTGTATTACATATTTGTAGTTTCCATAGTCCATGAGAATTTTCAAACCATAATTGTACTGTTAAAAAAGCCCAATTGGCAAAACCTTGATCACTGTGATCGTTAGCTCGTCTCTAAGTTAAATATATTAATAACATATCTTATTAAAATAACTATTGATTCTTACTGGTAAAATTGTTGTTTTTGTATTTGATGGTGAGTAAAGATAGATTTCTATTTCTCCTCGATTAGTCGTCGATAAATTTACAATTACTTGTACTTGTTCAATATAATTTACTTGACTTTTTATATCACCACTCTTTTTACATTCCTTTAAATCAACAGAAAATGTTTCATTTGACTTTGACTTTATAGTCTTTTTTGGATTATAAGTCATTGATTCACATGTTGACATAGGTGGAACATTTTTCCAACCGCTTGCATACCAAGTCATTAAACTAGCATCCATAAGACCAAAACCATATCTACTACTGACTAGAAACGAAGAAAAACAATTCTTATAAATGAAGATGAAAAAGAAAATAATTGTACCATTCATTCCAGCTGCATTTTGAATAACTTCTGTATTCGATGGAAGGGTGTGGGTGTGCGTAGGTATCATCTGCCACCCACACCCAATCAGAGTATATCACAACGATATCAATCAATGCTTATGCAAGAGATTTTGTTTGATGAAAGTCAAGCAATAAAACTTCAAAAAAGCTCTTGGATCAGACTGTTAATGAATTCAATGAAAGGGCAAATCAAAAAGAGAAAAGGAAGATACAGATTTCTTGTTAGAAAAGATATCTTTTATTTGATGAAAAAAAACCAAAAAAAAACGATAAAACAGAAAAGAAACAAAAAAAATCTACTTATTTAAAAATATAATATTCATCATCATCCTAGATCAACAATTAATGGTTCATTCAGATGTCTTGCTAAGATTTTTAGAAAATGAACCACCACCGTTGCTTGTTGACTTAAATATTGATCATTACTGGAAATAAATTCAGTTAAGATTGAATCTATTTCATCACTTGACATTGGATGTTCATCATACGCCTTTGCAACACGTTGTTTTTTCAACGCATTTATTGATCGTGTCAGATCGAAGGCGGTCAACGTTGAATCATATTTCTTGATAAGATCGGTTAAATCTGAAAATTTTTCTTCTCCTTGTAATGAATATATATATTCATCACGTGCAGCTCTTTTCGATAGACCTGGTTTGATATATCTAATCATTTTGTTGAGAAGTTGAGATGCTATGTTCCCCATCTGTATCATATTAACGTTACTTTCCATTTTTTCCAATGCCAATACACGAGATTTTAGTCCACCAACGTCATTTTCTAACGTAGAAATTTGTTTTTGCATTTCAATGAATAATTCTCGTAAGTCGACTTTCACAATAGTGAATCGAGCAAGGGGGAAACGGCGGATTCCGGATTTCCGGGATTCCCAAGATTTCCAGGATTCCCATGGGATTCCCGGGATTCCCAGGATTCCCATGGGATTCCCCGGATTCCCAGGATTCCCGGGATTCCCAGGATTCCCCGGATTCCCAGGATTCCCGGGATTCCCAGGATTCCCAGGATTTCCATGGGATTCTCGGGAGTCCCAGGATTCCCATGGGATTCCCACGGGATTCCCGAGATTCGCATGGGATTTCCAGGATTTCCAAAGGATTCTCCAAAAAATTTCCGGAATTCCCACCATACTTGCGG